AGCAGAACAGGTATTTCCACGTTGACACAAATGATGACATCAGCTGTAATGAAGTGAAGTGCTCTTTGATTTATAGGTCACAGGGCAGTGATTTCCTGCAGCGACGAATACTGCTGTAAAAACAAGAGTGTGTCTTTGAACTTAGCAGCTTTATTATGAAATCATCTAGCAGCTAATACACAATGAAATAAAACACAAATAGAGTATCTGAAATTTTGTTTCATATCAATATCTTTATATTTCTCATTATAATAATATGATTAATAGATTCTGTTCTCCACTATTTTGAAACTTTCTATTTTGATTTATCTTGACAAACTGGTTGTTCTTCTGTCAGTCAGTAAAAGTGTCATATAAACTTTTCATTCATTTAAACATGTTTAAAATACTTATTTGTGTATTTTGTATTTTGTTGGACAGATAAGATTACTATGTAATTTGTAACAAAACACTATAAGCTTGCATTTACTTGAAATACATTATCTTATTCTAAAATAAGACACATTTATATCCCTGGGTTAAGATGACATGGAATGTGGTGACAGAGACGTGCTTGTTTTTCTTGAGGCCACTAGTTTGAATAGTTGTTGTTTTATTGTGGATTTCTATATTATATGTTGTATTTTTTGCATTTTAAATGTGGTTTGATTGGCTGCTACCTGGTCTCTCGTGTTAAAGAGATTTTCAGTCTTAATGGGACTTCCTGGTTAAATAAAGGTTAAATACAGAAATTAGAAATTAACAATTGTAGAAAATAATCCTGAATTTACAGCCTCCAACCTCCAAGTAATCCTAAATGGCTTTTTCAAATCTATGATGTAGGAAACTGGCAGGGGGGGGTTAAGGTCAGCTCATATTGAGGCTAATAAATGCCTAAAGTGTGATGACATCAGTTTGTATAGAATGCATTTTGGTATTTTTAAATTAGAAATTACTTGTATTTTCATAAAATATCTTTTCTCATTCCCATATTTTGTATTTTATTTTCATACACTTGATGAGCAAGTATTTGTAACAAGATACTATCTGATGTATTTGTGCACATCTCTGTATAAAAATATACAAAACCAAAACCAGTGTTACAAGCATGGATACATTTTTAAATCAAATATGACCTTAATAAAGTAGATCCACAATACATGGTAAATGGACTGCACTTGTATAGGGCTTTTCTCATCTTCCAACTACTCAAAGCGATTTTACACTACATGTCACATTCACCCGTTCACACACACAGTCACACACAGGTGGCCGAGGCTACCATACAAGGAGCCACCTGCTACTCACTTGCACTCACACACCGATGTAACAGCCATCAGGAGCAATTTGGGGTTCAGTATCTTGAGGAGCCGAGTTAAAATTAAAATTAAAATTAAATAAAACATTAAAGTAAAAACATAATAATAATAAATTTAACTAAAAAAATAAAAATAAAATACAGTAAAAAATAAAATTAGAATTAAAAAATAAAATAGGTTTTACCGTGAAAACTAGTAATGAGCTGTCTAGGGGCTGCAGCTGGTGATTATTTTATTATCAACTACACTGCACATTATTTTTTACAGTTGATTAATTTATTAATCATTTAGGCAAGGCAAAGCAAATTTATTCATATTGCACATTTCATACCCAAACTGCTTCACAGATTAGTCAAGTCAAAGTTAACTGTAGCACAGTCATGAAGCATGCCTCAAAGGGCTGTACAAAATGTTATTTCAAGTCCAGTATCACAATTTGCCTCAGGTGGTTTTAAAGCACACAACATCCCTCTGTCCCCGGATCGTCTCAGTGGATACTGAAAAACATCTTCCAGAAACCCTTTAATGGGAAAAAAAAAGTCTGTAAAATGTCAAAAAAGAAATTGGGAAAATGCTCACTATGTTCACTGTCATTTCCACATTACAGAATGAACGATCCTCTTATACATGAAGTTGTGTTAAAGCTCTTTGAACCGCATCACTCAAAGAGGGGCCTGATTTCACTATTCTATAAAACAACCATGGACGGCTCCCAGATCTCCTCAGCAATGAAGAGACTTGCACGGTGTGAGGACTTAAATAGCAAAATCTCGGTCGAGGACTGGCAGACAATCTGCTTGCAAACACGGTCCATAAACACCCATTTTTAATGACTCCAATATAAGTGGATAATGAGAATATATGTAACTCCAACCATGTTAAATAAATCCAATCCCAGTACCCCTGACATATGTGATAAATGTGGAATAAAGGGCACGCTGTTTCATTGCTTATTGGGCTGCAGGTTTTCTGGATAGAGGTTTTGGATATCCTTTCACATGTCAGAGGTGTTAAGTTGCCTGTATGCCCCAAACTCAACTTGATTTATATCGCACCTTTCATACAAAACATGCAGCCCAAAGTGCTTCACATGGCAAAACTGAAATGGCACAGACACAAGACAATAAAATATCAAAAAAATCAAACCAACCAAAACAGAACAAACTAACAAATAAGATGATTAAAACTCCATAGAATAAAAAGAGAGGAAATAAATAGATAAAATAGAATAAAAATGAACAGGGGAGATAAAAGAAGGTAAAAACCAGTGGTTAAAATTTAAAAATCAAGACTGTGATGTTACTCCACATTAAAAAGATTATTAATTTAGCCTGGCTCACTGGACTGTCACACTCTGTTGCCCTAGAAAAACTTACTTTTAAGATTAAGGGAAAATATTCTACTTTTGAGAAGCTAAGGGGACATTTTAAGACATTTCTACTTGTCTTAATCTCTTGAATGCAACATAATTATGTGCATTTTTTTCCTCTTTCTTCCCCTTATACTGTCAAGGCTTGTATAGGCAGCATTTCACATTTGAACACTAGGTGGCGGTAGTATCACTTCCCAGAGGAAGTGCTGTGAAATGATGTTTCAGCAACACTTTGAGTAGTTTTGCTGTTTCAGTGTTGTTTCTGAGCATGACAGAAAATGTTTTCATCACGCAGCATGTCTAATGTCCAGCGCTGGATCACATGATGACGAGGACATTTTAGCTGCAGCACTTTCACCTTCTCTTTTTGCACAGCTGGGCTCGTCCTGTGTGGATTTTAACTCTTTGAAACACAACTTTATGACTTTAAGATGGTAAAAAAAAATGATACTGTTACATCTAATCCCTGGCCGGACAAACGAGCGTTTTCTCGTGTCGCATGAATCCATCCCAAATGACAGTCTGGAGCCACGCTCGCAGCCACTATTACATCACCTCCACTGTTCTGCACCACTGTACAGAGTGCTTTTCTATGAATAATACAGAGAGACTGGGGAGGGAGGGACATGGACATGGGTTACTAAATGACAGAGGGAGTACATACTGGAAGGAAAGAGTGATGGAGACTATGGAAAGATGGAGCTGGAGAGATATTCTGTGAGTTATATGTGGAATTAACACTGTAAATAATCACACCAGACACTAATGCTTGGATTCTGAGTTAACTTTATTGAATTAATTAATGAATCAGTCATACTTTCCTAAACACATTTCTACATGGATTGACTGTGTGTTTGGATTACATGAATTACAGACACAGGACACAGTGTCAGAGACTTGTTACAGCTGGGTACAATGAGAAATGGCAGCAGCGTCGCCGGTCCCAGACTGTCTGAAGGAAGACAAGGTTATAGAGAGTGTTTTCCCATGAGGGAGCAGCCTGCTTTGGTATAGAAAGAAAATAACATATTGCACTCTGAGATCAGCAGACAGGTCTTCTATCATGGCATACGTGCGCACACACACACACACACACACACACACACACACACACACACACACACAGGCAGGCAGGAAACCAGACAGTCTCTCATGAAGCTCAAACACAGATAATGAGACATCCTCAGTCAGAAAGGTGAAAACAATCTTCTATCTGCATTTGAAAATTGCGTATATCCTGGCACATTTGCAGCACCACCAGGGAGAACATTAGAATAAATCTGCTAAAAACTAGATAATAATTTTCCTGGCACTATAATCTTTCCACCTTTTTTGCCCCCCTCCCCCCCTTGTCCTTCCTCTCTTTGTCACTCGCTCATTCTTGCCAGCGCAGTTAACACAGAGTTAACTGAGCTCGGTATATAATTAGACAAACAAAAAAGAGAGGGATGAAACATCTAAAGGAGAAGAGACTCCAAATGATTACACATTCACTTCGCTTCCTTCCCCCTTGCTGCACACATAACCACCAATTAGAGGAGAGGAGAGGAGGATGAGGACAAGCAAGCCGCCAGAAGTCTATTTGTGTCTCTATCTCTCTCCCTCCTTCTCTCTTCCCCTGAAGACTATCCAGCGCCGGGGAGGGAGGAAGAGAGGAGAAAATAGAAGTGAAAAACAAGAAGTATATAAATAAAGAAATCAGAGTGTTTCACATCCGGTCGGCTGATTGGCTGAGACGCGAGTCAGGCAGATCTGGGCCACAGTTGCACTCATTGTTCAGTGAGCTTTTCTACACAGTCCAACCCAGCGACAGCAATGAATGTTGATTGTGACCTTTGGTCTTTGGGTACAGTGGAAACAGAGTGTCACTTTTGTGCATGTGTGTGTGTCTTCGTGTCTGGGTTTTGCATGCGCCCACTTTGCCCTTTTGTTCTTTTTTTTTTTTTTTTCACTCATTCCTGTCGTTGTCGTCGTCGTCGTCGTCGTCAGAGCAGGCCTCGGGGCACAGTCAACGGTCGATGGTTTTTATGTGATCCATACCAAAACTCACCGACAGCGTTGAATGTTCACCGAGGCGAGCAGGAGTGTGACTGTGAGCCGAGCTGACAAGACGAGGCAGGGCGTAGAGGAGGGAGGACAGACAGTCAGACGAGCACGGGGGGGGGGGGCGAGGATGGGGACATCGCTCAAACCCCAGAGGTCAGGTCGCTCAGCAGAGGGACATAATGACACAGGACAGTGGCAGAATGAGTCCACTGTCCACAGGGCAAACATGTCTCTGGTTATGTTAAACATGATCAAGCTGTGTGTATAAGCTGGAGCATAAACTGAGAGGATCTGCTTTATTGCATTACCACCACCTCATTAATCAGAGGAACTGAAGTCCTTCATCTTCACTTCAAAATTGGCCGTAACAGCATCTGAAACACAGATGAAGAGGAAGTTGTTAGCACTGATGCCGTGCAGCATATTTGTCTTTAAAGGGTCAGTTCACCTTAAACTGCAAAAACAACTAATTTTGGGTTTCTTTTTTTGCACAGGTTTTTAGATCTCTGTCTCTGAGATTTCTGCTGTCACCCGATTATAACAGAGGTGAACAGAACAGCATTGAGGAACAAAATATGCAACAATTCAACAACAAAATGTGGTATTTATAACCCCATTACGAGCAGAATCCATATGTCTCCACTAACATTTCATAAATGAAAAAGTAAAAGCTGTATAAATAAATAAATAGTACAAGCTGATTTTGTGGTGGTAGAAGTCACTGTAGCATGTTAACATCATCTAGCCTACAATACAATGCTACTCACACAGTTGTGTGTAGATGTAAAAATATTCTGGCTCTATCACTGCTTTTTCCTGCCGTCTCTTTCTACCATTGCTGTTTGGCTTTTTAGTAGTCCTGTGACGTTATCCCCACCACTCAGAGTTGCCATATATCAGCTCAGCTGCTTGTCACAGCAGTAGAGACTGACCTCTGGTGGCTGGTGCTGTACATTACATCGCCTCAATACAGCATCTCCATGTCAGTTTAATAAAAGAGGAGCACTGAAAATCTAACTTCAGGACTTCTAAATACCCCTATATATCTTAATACTGCCCAGGTCTTGTTAAAATAATCTTCCTTAGATCTAATATAAATACTTTTGTATATTTTTACATTTAACATTTTTAGTTTTACAGTTTTTATACAAATTTTAAACAGTGTGTGATGGGCAAATTGTGGACAGATCAAGGTAAGTATGTGGGCTGTTAACTAGGGCTGCAAGTAAAGATTATTTACATTATCAAATAATCTGCTGATCATTTTCACAATTAATCATTTAGTTGAGTCTATAAAATGTTAATAAAATTGTGAAATTTTCATCACAAGTGACATCTTTAAATGGATTATTTTGTCCAAACAACAGTCCGAAGACATGCATCATCATAAATGTCAAAGAAAAGCAGCAGATTTTCACATTTAAGAAGCTACAACCAATAAATATTTGGCACTTTTGCTTGATAAGTGACTGAAACAATAAATCGATTATCAAGTTAACTGGCAAATAATTTCCTCGCGTTTGACTAATCAATTAATCGACTGATTGTTGCATCTCTATTGTATACAAGTGGATATGCAGATGAAAACAGATGTGTATGTGTAGAGATGTGTTAAACATGTACATGAGGAGGAGTATACATGTGTGTGCACTCGTGGAAGTGAAGATGGAGGACTGAAAGTTTTCCTGAGGACTATGTTGTGGCCTACAGTCATTTTTGCTCTTCCCTGATTCTGTGCTTATGCATATATGCACATAAAAAAACTGGAAAAAGGTTTTATGTGAAGAAATCTAAAGGATTTTGTGCACTCTATGATACTGCCTTTTCCAAACAAAAATAAAAGGGAAACATTTTTTTTTAAAAAATGGGGGCTGGGCAACATGTAGAAAATCAAATATAACAATATTTTTTACCAAATACCTCGATATTTGATATTACAATAATACTGTAGTAATTACTATTGCTGCTTTGACAAAATATTTACACCGGTAATGTGGAGATAATGACTAAGTGGGTAAAGGAAAATAATAGAACAGTCTAGTTAGTTTAGAGAATTACATTACTTTACTGTAATGCAGCCTTTAAAATCAGGAAAACAGTTTCAAGATTGTGATATCGAAAATGTAAGACGGTATTTTAGTCTCATATCATGATACTTAAGATAATATAGATATTTTACCCAGCCCTAAAAACAACACGTCTTTCCAGAAACAAATCCCCTATTGTAAACGATCCACAAAACACTTTTTATAGGGACGTTAAACGTAGTTTTTCAATACAATGAGCCTCACAAACACGATCTCTATCACCTCTTTTGTTTTGGGGGGAGGAAAGTCAAAGAGACAAATGAATCCAAAACTATTTGCATGGATTAATAACACTATAATTACATGACAAAATGTAATTTGAGTGAACTGACCCTTTCATGAGTTTTAAAAATATATACATAAATGTTTTAAACATGTTTTAAAAAATGAACTTTTGTATTTTAAAGAAATCCCTCTTTGTTTGCTCAAAACAATATCAGAGAAATATCTCGGAGCCTGCCACGGTTCATATGGACATCTAGTCCTGAGAACAATGCTGCGATGTCCTACTGTGCAGCCAAGCTTTTCAGACCCCAGCCATCGCCCGACCACAGGCTGAGAGCTCCCATTGTCAGGAGCAGCCCATCGCTGGGGAACAACTCCCGACAGTGTCACCGCACTGCTGCGCAGACCGGGGGCTGACGTCAGGATGGTAAACGCTGATCTATGGTCATTCAACGCACCGTTTCATCGGCTTAGGGTGCTGTCGTCATTGAGCAGGCTAGACCTGCATCCATTACTCTGCTGAGGGAGGCAGACGTCAGGCTAGCATGATCACACACTGACTACAATGGATGAGTAATGCATCACGCTACGACAGCTATAATTCAGAAGGTCATGAAATAGACAGTTTGGTTTTTGTCTGGGCCTCTGAATTATTGCCTCTGCATTCTTTCACGGCGCGCTCTCCTTTATGAATATGTAAAAATGTACAAATTAATTTGTATGATCATAGAACAAGAAATATGTCGTCACATAATGTCCTGAAATGTAGCATAAAATTTACAGCCACTTAGTACGAATCATAAAACACTCGTTTTTAGACCGTTTTTTGCTTCTTCTTTTTTTTTTCCGGGTGTCTTAACTGCAGCATGTGAACTAGAAGTCTCTTCTCTCTCAGGGTGAAGCAGCTCAGATAAGGGACTAAATTCATAAGCCATATTACATCTTCCCCACTCTATCACAGTCACACACACACACTTACACCTCACCCCACAATGAGACCTAAAACGAAAAATAGGCGGAGGGGTCGAGGGAGAGGAGAAAAGGGGGGCTTTGCCATGGCAACCCCAGTGTCAGCCAGCCATTTCTTCTTAATCCCCCCCAGTTCAATGTCGCGCCCTCTGAGGGACCCCCTCTCTACAGCTGAATATTTCTTTTGTGTTGAGAGACTCTGTATATACGTGTGTGTATGTGTGTGTGTGTGTGTGTGGGAGGGATCACAGAGGGGGGAGGGATTGGGGTTAGAGGGGGGAAGATCATAGCTAACCCAGCTTAAATGGGGGGCCAAGCTGCGGGCCACAGAGTCTCAGCGTTACACCGGGGGTTCAAAACCAGAGATCAAATCACACACAGACACTCACACACACTCACATACATATACACATTTAAACACTATATTGATGGAGGGAGATAATCTTCTGAAATGGCAGATAATTACATCATATGGCAAACAGCCGGGCCTTTTCTCCCGAGCCTATCACCGACAAACTCTACTGCACTTTTTTTTTTGCCGTGCTACGAAACTCTCATGGTCTCCCGCTCTTGCCTGAGCAGGCCACTCTACATTACCGACAAAAGCGGTTTTGGAGGAGTGGGTGGGGAGAGGCGTCAGCTGCTAGACAAAATTAAAAGGCCTCTATTTGTTCCTGACAATAAACGTCCCCATCTTTGGAGCTCCTCCACAGCTGCAGCCAGATAGGCTTTCATTTCTAGCTGCAGACTAATAGAGAGCAATGTCTCCTTCCTCTACTGTAAGCCGATTTAGTGCGCGGGATAAAACATTCGGGGAGCTTTATAGTCATCTTTCTGTGATGCCTCTCCGCCGAGAAAGAGGACAAAAGAATGTGACACATGGAGGATATTCAGAAATGGAGAAACTAAGGATTTTATGAAGCTGTTTTAATGATGATGTGCCGTATACCTGATGGAAGTGATCTTCATGGAGTCGCACGCGTCAGGAAGTGAACACCTATAGAGAGAAGACAAAAGCAGATAAACACAAAACAGTTAGAGGCAAATAAATGTGTGTGAGATCAGTGGTGCAGTCAAGGGCGGGGGCAGGGGGGCCTTCAAATTAAAGCTGTATATATATCTTTTAACGGCACAGACATCAAAGAACTAACAGCAACGAAGGCTTACTGTTGCACCGTGTCATGTTGCCTGTACCGCCACCAAAAAGTTGCACATTTAACACACCATAAAGACAACAGTCAACTGTGTGAGAGGAAATAACTCTCCATACCATTCATAAAGAGAAAGAAGAAGACCAACAGAACAGATTCAAGACTCTAGTTAGCCAGTTAGCACAACTGATATTTACTGTGCTCCAGCGAACAATAACACAAACTAACTACGAACGGTTTCTGCTAAAGAGCTCAATGGCTGGAAAACTAATCTTACCTAACATCACAAGTTAGTTTCGATGAACACTCTTGATTTTAGCCGTTTGTTTACTTTCCTCACTTCTGTTTCTCTTCTCGTGCGCTAAGCTGAGCTGCCAGTCTGAGTGAATTCACTCACCGCTAGCTCTGCATCTCCATCGCCTATTGAAGGCAAGCCATTATCAAGCCAACAAGGGCTAAACGAGAGCCAATGGTGCAGGACACAGTGCAAAAACTAGTGCGACAGACGCTCACCAATGGCCTGACATTGTTCAATGGCCGACTCAGCTTGGTGTGTCACGGCCATGAAGAAAATGTTTATTTGAAGAACAATGACTCGCCATTGGTTCCAACCATGTCGGCACAGCTTGTCGGGAAAATTATGCTCCAAATTTAGGCTAAATTTTGGCAAGGGAACAACTGGCAAGGCCATTTTCAAAGTGGTCCCTTGAACTCTCACCTCAAGATATCTTAATGAAAATGGGTCGAGTTTCCCCTACACTTGAGAAGGCTTGTTTCCAGTAGATGTTTTGTTCTATACAATAAATGTGCCCCTTCAAATTAAAGGACAACCAGCCTATTCAAAGATCAATGAATTGCCTAACATGTAAAGGTACATAGTAGAAGAGGATTGTTGTGGAACTCAAAATGTTAACTGTGCTGGTATTATTCAATGCAATCAGATAGTTTGTAACTTTAGAATTAAAATAAGAAAACAAAGTTTATCAGTATGCAATTCCTTAACTCTCCATACTGACAAAGTTTTCAACTAGTCCATAGAGGCCACTGCTGGAGATTGATTTTTACATTCTATGGAAAAAAGCTTTTCTGGGAATACGACCATCTCTCATAGAACCTCACAGTTAATGTGATTTGCTCTCAAAAGTTTCCTAATCAACAACGACGACAATTAATGTCCAGTGCATCCTCCGGAAATCCCAAAACGGGCTTTTCCCTCAAGGCTGAGTGATGGTGCAGGAAGTGCCAGTGGTGTGTCTCTGGGTGGTCTGATGTGGCCGTGGGCGAGACTTTAATGTAGCTGCATGTCCACTGTATACTGTACATTCAGCTGTAATGACTAACAGACCCGCAGTCTGCCTGTAGGGGCCTCACACGCCACTCCATGCCTACACATGCATATGCTCCACTTTAATGGCAGCCTTCAGACTTTATTTGAAGTGTGCTGTGGTGTTCGGGGAAAAAAAATGAACCCGGATTTTTCATAAGGGAGGAAAAACTCTGAGGACCTCCAGTGCCCTCAGGCTAATATTTGACCCTGGTGGGTTCATTATATAAAGTGGCCATTTAAATCTATTCAAACTATGGATAATTACAGTTTGGCTGCTTTGTGGTGGTTCTTTTTAAAGCATATATGGATCTCAGCTTGCCAAACATCTGGCTGGGATATTATATGTGACATAGGCTGAAAACATAACTCTAAAAACGTATATTGTCAGGCAAACTAGGCCAAAGAATGTAACTTAATTTGAAGGTCTGTGCAGCTCTCAGCAAATTTATTTTCTCCTCCTGTGTAGCAGAACATGCGCATTTAAACTACCTGGTAATGAACACTAAGACAGTGTGAAAGTGCTCCATGCCAGTCTAGTCTATTAGAGAGCAAAGGGCACATTGTAACACAAGGTGCAGAGTCTGTTCAACAAGTGCGAAGACATAAACCAAAAACAAAAGGCACAGAGTTAGTGCCTTGGGACTGATTGGCAGGGTGGGGTCATTGGGTGACCCTTGACCTTTTTAACCCCAAGGAATGTTGTCGTGCTGGTGCGCGTATTGTTCCAGCCTCCCCGAGGAGCCCCAGCCATGTATCAGACGAATGTGAATGTTCCTAAGGGCTTCTCCTTTCCCCACCCCAAAAAACCCTCCTCTTTCTTCCCCTAATCCTTTCTTTTCTGCTCTTCATCCTCAGACTTCAACAAACAAAAGGTATCAACAGGTCCGAGAGTGGGCTGTTGTTGTCGTTCTGAAGTGCACATGCACACAGGGAGGCCGCGCTGTAACACGGGTGCCAGTCTGACTCTCCTCGCTGACCTAAATGACCAGCAAAGATGCAGTAAAAGGCGCCAAGAAGAAAACGTCTTTGCCCTATCGCTCATCAAATAAACCACTGTTTTTATTGGTCCACCGTCCAGATCTAAGAGATCTGAGAGTATCTTCAGGCAGTCTGAGAGTCTGGCTCTGGAGGAAGTCACCAGCAGTAGAAGGAGACTGACAGATGAGAGGGCCAGACAGACAATTACTGGCCAGGTATGTCCTTTATATCCACCTAGGGCTGGTCAGAGGAAATGGAGGAATTTATGATGTCATAAAAAAGTGCCAGAAGAGAAGTGCCTGAGAACAGGTTGTCTCTGGAGCTGGAGCCATAAAAGACTCCCGCGGCTTCCGCTCCCTCCCCCTGACTACCACCCGAGATGATAACACTAGACTGAGCGCCGGTAGGTTAGAGCAGCCAGAGACGCACTGTGTGTATAATTCAGCGTCATCTGTAAACATGTCATAATGTGGCAAAATATTGTTAACGACTACGATACAAACGTGTCAATGAATGATAAATCTGGGAAGTAACAAAATTTTTTTGCTCGGAAACTGTGCATGAATACATTTTTCCTATTTCACTTTTTTCATCTTGTGATGCTTTGTACTTGTCGTCTTCAACATTTCAGCTGAAAATATCTGACTTTTTTTTAAAGATTTAAAAAAAAAATAAAAAAAAACGTAAGATTTTTACATGCAAAACACATAAGCTCATATATGGTGCATGTGTAAACTCTCCAAAAATAAATGCATCAAGTAATTCATGATTTTTTTCCTTATTGAGTAATGCGGTGATTATTTTCACAATTTATTGCTTAACACTTAAAAAAATTGTGAAAAATTAATCTTCAAATTGCTTCTTTTGTCCAACCAACAGCCCCAAACCCAATTTACCATCATTAATGACAAAGAAAAGTAGCAAACTGTCATATTCAATAAGCTTCAATCAGAAAACATTTCACACTTTTGCCTGAAAAATGATGAATTGATTGTCAAAATAGTTAATTAATAGTAATGAATTATTTTCTCTTAGTTGTTTCACCTCCAAAAAAAAAAAATGCTGATGTAGTGCCACTGTTGCATAAGTACAGGATCTGAATGTCATTAAAATCAAAAATTTTATCACTAATAGAGAAAAAAAACTGAAATGCCATGTCTGAAATTTTGTCTTTTTGCCCAGCTGATGAAACTGGACCACTCCGGCATCATTTACATCATTAAAAGCTTTCTTTTATACGTCTCTCCCTCATTTTCCAACCCCCTTCATACAGTTTAAACCACAACAAAAACAAACCTTAAAACAAGAAACATCTTCAACAAGAGAGGCACCATCTGTCGCCTCACACTAAGCAGGTGTAGGGAAGAGAAAGCTTAAAAACATTCTATGCAGACATAAAGGATACCCCTTCCTCTTTGCTTTGCGCGCACAAACTCACATCTATACGTACACACACACACTACAAAAGATAGAGACACACTCTCGGTCTCGGTGCTTGTTGAGAAAAAAAAAGGAAGAGAGAAGGTGGTTATTTGCTCTACAACCTCACTAAGGAGGTTTCCCATTGTAAAAAGGAGTGGCTGCACAGCCCCGTTTCCTTTCATCCCTCTCCTTGAGGCACGCTGCCTTTGTCTCACAGAGGACAGAACAACCAGCCTCCCGGCCACGCTACACTGGTCAAATACCTGGGAACTACCACCAGCCTGGTGGGAAAAACAACAAGAGGAGGAGGAGGAGGAAGAGAGAGAGATGAGGGTGGGGGTAAGGTGTGAGTGTTAATCTGAGGTACGGCGAGACTGACCAGCTCAGGGGAAAAAAAAGGAGCCTGTTAAATAAAACCTGTTATTAAATCTCAAAAGGAAGGAGAGGGAGGTTGAACTATGAACACCTGGTGCCAAACTCCACTTCAAAAAGATGTTGTTGACTCTGAAGGAAAAAAAATGTTATGTATGATTTTTAAATCACCACCACCTGTTTTTACTTTTCTTTGCTCTTTTTTTCGTCCTTATTAAAGGTAGCAACTGTATGTGTGCAATTAAGGACTCTGAGGTTAAGGAAGGCACGTCTAATGTGTGCTTTTTTCTCCTTTTTTTTCTCTCCTCCCTCCAATTCTGCACTTTCATGCCAGCTCAGCAGAATGAAGGCAGTTCCTGTATACGAGGCACTGTATAGGGGTGAAGTGAGTTTAAGTCCTCCCCAAACCCGACCGCAGCCGGCTGAATGTAAAGCTTTACGTTCCAGTCCACACGGACTGCCTCGGCAACCAGACCTCACTGTCACACCTCATAAAGCAGAGCTCAAGCAGCGGGGTTGTGTTTAAAGCCAGGGGGAAAGATAAGGCAAAATAAGGACAAATAAGGAGGAAAATAAGAATGCACCCATTCAGGAAACTGTAGAGAAAAGAGTGAAAAGCCCTTGACAAAAGCTCTTTAGCTGAAACTCTGATGGCATGTCTCCAGTATGCCGAATAAGAAAATATACTTTCGGGACAAATTGCAGCAGGAAACATGAGAAAGTGAAAAAGCCATTGAGGGATTTTTAAGACCATAATCCTCTCTTCTTATTTCTAGTTTTTGCCTAGCTGTCGAGGGGGAAGCGAGGACCCATAAGTTTATTTTTAAACAGTCCACAAAGAATGCCTGTCATTTCCTGGCGTTCCCCACTTCCATATGAAAGCCCCCTTTCCTTTAGGAACAATGGGAAAGATTCCAAAATTTCCATGGAGAGTTTCTTGCGTGGCGATACAATAGAGAGCATGTTGTGACAGAATCGAGACGGGCTGTTTTCTCTCAGCTGTGACAAGATCGGGACTAATGCAGTGTTTTTGTCTTACAGCTACCACACTTCATGATTACAAGTGGCCGCACGACAGCTGTAACGTCTCATAAATGAACCCAGAGTGAAATCTAATGGCGGGCCTGAGTGTGTGACAACTTACTGGAATATCTGTTATTTCGAGGAAAAATTTGAGTGCGAGCTTCTAGATAAAAGGAGCTCCTGAAGCATCAAACTGTTTGGACAAGTGTCTGACTTCATTAAGCATAGAAGAGGGCTAAAATCAGATTATATCAGAGAGCAGATGTTCCGAGTTTGACAGGTTTTAACAGGCTTCCCTCACTTCTTAATCTGTGTTCTCTGATTTATAACTTTACCTGCAACACACACACATATCTACGCACAGTCACACACAAGCCGTAAGGGTTTCTTAATTAACCAAAAGAACGTGTTTGGTCCCAAAGTGGAAAGAGTTCAAATGTCATGTGTGCTCCTGAACGGGCCAATGGGTTCTTGAAAGCCACCTGGCTTGACCCGAGCAGACCCGCGCCTTTGGCTAGACGAGAGGTCAGAGGTCATCCACTCAGCTAGATAGGCAGTATGTCAAGATGCCTGGGGCAGGGGGCAGGGGTCTGCACTGCCTAACCTTTCCATTTACCCAACACTGCAACAGCACACTCGAGGGAAGCACAAACACGCACATATGGACACGCAGGGTCCTGCTGCTGTGAACTTGTTCAACCCTTGACTTCGTTTACCTGTAGTGCATGAGGCCAAGTGTGTGTGGTGAACATCTGCTATTAGATATTTCACTTTGGATCTATAGATGTGAACGAGGGTGTAGGTTTTGTTTCAATATTAAGGGGGAGGGGCATGATTTTGAGCTTTAAAACCTTAATTTCCTGCATTCTGGTGAATTCTAAGCACCAATTTGTGCCTTTATTGCATCAGTGTATAGCGAAAATGTCTTTAATATTGTCAAAATAAAAGTCCTGATACTTTCATGTTAGTATCGGAGCACATGTTCTAAATATTGTGTCGTTAAATCTACACCTATGAATGTACAACAAAGTCTTACATGGAAAAAACAACACAGGCATTACCCAGCTCCGCTTCTATAAATTAAGGTCATTATCCCTCGGGCATCTGTGCTTTTTATGTCTTCCAGATGACTCAGAAATAATGAATTAAAAAGTTTGCATGTTGTATTTTAATGATTGAAAAAGGGGGGGAAGCAAGTGTGTAAGCTTTTTTTCCCCTTCCTCCTCATCTGTGTGTTCTACGTTTGATGGCAGCAGGGAAGGAGCTGGGTGTCTGCTGGGAGTCATGTGACGGTGGGAGATGGGACTCCCTGATGCTAACAACATTACATTTTCACCGCCTAACAAAAACAATAGGAGCATTATTTTTTAATTTGAACTGTTCTGCGAGGAGGAGGAGGCGATGATGTGGAGGAACCGGCGGTGGTGAGCGGTCGAGGGCCTCTCCACCGTGATGGCAGGTTGCTTCTCGACATAATTGCAGGTTGATGAAGCTCGTCTCGGGTGATGATGAGATGCACAGGAATGATGATCATAGCTCCAGCAGGAGATAAGATAAGCCAACATGCAACCGGCCCTCCGCCTCGCGCAGCATTAGCAGGGGGAGACAGAGGGCTTTGCCCCATTCACTCAGCTGAGAGCAACTCCAAACTGAATTAAGGCCCTACAGCTGATATGCACTCACGCTGCTCTTTGCTGCGAGGGAGCAGGAGGATGCTGCTTTTTCTCTTCATGAGGTACAAAGTGAATTATATGTAACTCAGCCCTGAGAGGGACGGAAGTGAGGCCATCACAGCACATCAGCACCTATCAGCACCACTGTGCATTTCTCTATTAACATAACACAGATATTTTTCCACCCAGTGGATTATGTATCAAAAAAAATAAAGTTCAAGCTGTCTGCATTAAGGTAAATGTTTGTTCTTCAATAAATAGCCATGCATTTTTCATTAGAGCAAGCTGTGTACAATCCATAGCCAGTAAAATGTAGTGCTGCACTAACCGTCTAGACCTTCCATAATCTAAATGGCAGAAGAATTTATGGAGGCTGCCTCATTAACCTTAAGGCATATTAGTGCTTGGCACTGCACGCAGAGAGACTGAGCACGGCAGCTTCGAAAGTCTAAAGAAAGATAGTCTCAGCTGCATTAAATTACCTGCAGGGTCAGGCTGAGTACACCAAAAAAACTGTACCGCTCGTGATGTTTATTTGGTCAGTGCATCCTCTCAGAGTGCCCACCCTGAAAATGGCAGTCTGGCTGTTTTTTGCCATGTGCTGGAGGCCCAAATTCCGGGAGGAAGTCAGATGCGCACAGACTGTTTCCGAGAATTCAGGATGCGCAAAGCCACGCAAGTAGTCTACTTACACTATTCCAATTCCTGTCTGCGTTTGAAAGACACAAGTCATGCGGGCGTGTTGCTCTGCACCTTTCCATGAAACACTAAATATTTTTAATTGCACCAGTTTGTTTTTCTGTTCATTTCCTGCCTTCGTTACGCACCCATCCACACAGACACCGACGGATCACATCATGAGTCACGGCTTGGCGAGAGACGGGTGGCGGCTGTGAATGATCACTGTCTGCTTTCCGCTCTTCAGGTGTCTCACTCGGATTCTCCGGGGCAGGAGGGCTGCTGGTAATGTCGATACAATGACAGATGGTCCGCACAAAGCCGGTGCGCATTGTTCAGCTGGAAAATAATAGCCACCATTTATCAGTGTTCGCCGACTTTCAGGCCCAATAGGAGCAGCAGACTGTCTGCTGAGTGAAATGAATCAAAGTTATATTGTTTGGGAGGCTCCCACCAGGATTCCTTTGGGCCGCACTGGCTGTTTAAACATCGCGTTCAAACTTTCCAAGCAGCGGAAACAAGCATTTATCTGTACACTGTGTACCATCGATGCGTCGCGCGGAGCTGTGTAAAAGTTGGAAGTGTGCAGAAGAAGGTCGCGCGGACCGGTCGGAAATCACGTTTTTCCTCGAGTCACACGGATGCTCTTATGAAATGACCGATGAAAGACACGCTTTTCTGTCCGCTGGCATGTTTCACATGCGCTCATTTTGGAGACGCCTCATTAGTACCGAGCGCCAACCCAGACCCCATCACACACTGTCACAGTTTCACATTCAGTCCATGTGCATTAATCAGCAGAAAACCCACACTTTGTTTCTATTAATGAATTAATTAAAAAAAGCATTTCCTTTTTTTGCAGTTTACACAATTTCTGGATTTAACAAAGCAACGCGTCACAATTTTTAGATCATACTTTATGCATTTTACATGATGGCATACTTACATTCCTCTTCTTGTGAATCAGCAGGATTCACTGTCCTGCCGATGCCATTTCTTCAAGTCTGTCACACAGGGTATTTTCACTCTCATCACTTCCGTCCGAGCCCAACTCTACACCGACTGAGCGCCTGCCTTTCTGATCCACAGATTACGTCTGTTTGAGATGCAGGAGGGAGGGCATCCGGTTTACAGGGATCACCGGGAGGACCGGGATTGGCTCAGAGGAGATAGCTTGATAAAATGCGCGTCTGCCATTGGACGACGGGGGCCACGCGGGGAGGGTGGAGGGTGGATTGGGGGTGGGGTGGGGGCGGGGGCGTCGTGTATTATTCAGGAGAAACCGGGTGGGGAGTGGAAGAGGAGGATACTCCGGGGCAAAGCAGCATATGCAGACAATACCCTGTGTCTCAGAAATTTCATTGGTGGATTTGTCCACCACAGTTTATGGCTTCCAATAATGTCCTCGTGTGGACTAACAGGCAAATTGGAGCACTTATGTTAACCCAGGAGTGTCTGTGGTAGCTATTAGTGTTTATAATGACCTCAGAGTTCTTAATATAGGCTCTGGGATCACTGTAATAGCCCCATAATGGCAATTTCATATAGGAAAAAATGATGTGACAGAGAAAACTGTAAGATTTACACCATTACTTCTCTTTTCTAGTCTCTCTCTCTATGTTTGTCCTATTTTAAGATAAAATTAAATATGCCGGACTAACCAGATGGAAGGGAACAACTATAAATAAATCAAACAACCATTATTTTGCAACATCAAACCTCAAGAAAGTCTGTGTGTGTGTGACTGTGCAGGAGTGTGTACGAGGCTGTGTGTGTTTCTGCTGTATGTAGGCTACGAGACAGCTGGAACTGCAGAATTTTCCACACAGGAGTAGGGGAGGAAATGGTGCATGGATAATTCTCTCTTCAGATCCTCTGGTACTTGCTCCGAGAGTACTCAGCTGAATCAATACTGCTCAAAGCTTTCTCATGTTCCCCTTCTCACATCAGTGCTACTGTTGGGAGGCAGCAGAGTCCAGGGCAGTCCATTTTAGGGCGTCTTCTAGAGATGATTATTTGAATTTAAAAAAAAAAACACTCCTTGTGCAGAGGGATAATTACAATGCTAAATCACCCTTGACCTATAGGCCTACTGCACATACACAGATTGACATCCATAATACAGACTGTGAGTTGTTAACCTGCATACTGAGCCGGTGTGTGAGCAGACAGAGAAATCCTAATAACCACAGCGGGGGCTCTTCTCTGACCGGTAGCCATGGTGATTGAACACATTTCTCCACATAGCAAGAAAGGCGGTCTGTCTGCGCTGCACCACACAGGCCTTTATTAGGCCCAGACCCTCTGGACTGGAAGGAAGGAAGCACCAAGTGGAGGATCACACCCATTTCTTTGTGACTCTACAATTTTACGACAGTCAAGAGGCCGTCCACCACAAATTAGCTCTTTTCTGGAAGCCCTTGTCTCCGCTAAACCGATAAAATAGCACGCTCAAATCTCAACAAAGCGGCACATCATCTGATTATTGTGCGGATTTGAAGGCTGATTTGCATAACTGGTGGGAATGATGCTCTCAGAAGTGTAGCACCTAGATTTATTCGGTATTCAGTCTAATTTCAAACATCCAAACGGGAGCAACAGCCTTGGCTTGATTTCCTTTAAGCTTCTAATCTCTCTTTCCTCTTAATTTAGCTGCAGCTTCAATCACAGCTCTTTCACAAATCTAACCGTGTGGGAGTTTTATGTGTGTGACTGCTATCATGTGAAAAACCTCATAATTCCATTTTCGAAGAATTTAATAATTTCATTTTAATTGAGGAGTCACGTGGTTCTCTGTGGGTTTAAAGATTTTAGCACCACTTTCTGATATGGCAGGCTTCATAACAAATCTATGAGTTGTAACTTTTATTTCAGTTATAAGCCAATAAGACTTGGTGTTTGTTAGTCAATGGGCCACTTCTGGAACACTGCAGAGGATCAATTTAATAGCCTCATACTAACATTTATACCTCCAGTCTTATAGCCTCACTACAAAGTGAAAAATGTCCCAATCCTTTACTTCCATTAACACTCCAAACATAATGGTTTATAAGTTAAAAGTATTATAATGAACATGCTGGTAAAGATTCTCAGTCATCCAGGTCATGGTAATCTTAAGTTCTTTGTCGTTCAGCTCCTCAGAACTGAAGAAGCCTCTTGAATAAGAGGTGAAATATCCTCAAGAAACTCAAGCAAGTTCAGCTGCCTATGATATAGCACTTAAGATTATTATTACCAACATAACTGTGTCATTACAGAGAGGATGGAACATATATCGGTCAAAGTGTTTTCACAACTGGACAATAGGCCTTAATGAGGATTGTGATATGATGGCTCTCACCTGATACCCTTTCATAACCCTTTGTTCTGCTTTGGTGTTGAGATGTGCGCTTTATAGGTTTCGGGATCTCTGTTTAATGATGGCTTTAGCCTGATTCCTCTCAAAGCCCCATTTACTATGTGATTAAAGTGTAAATTGATACTGTTATAAGGTGCTTTGTGCCGTTATATGTTTTTCTGTAGTCACTATGTTCCACCATTTTTGGTATTCTGGTATTGTATGTCGAGACAAATATGGCTTCCATTTGTATGCCCCACAGTTTGCCATTAAGCAGTGTTACACTAGACACTTCTCAGTCTGCGTTCTTGCCTGTTGTGTTCTTGCGGACTTGTGAAATGTCATCAGCCACAGTCCAAGTACTGTTCTAATTCAAAGTCCGCATCCAGCCAAGTATAGTCCACATGCCCAGATGTGAACTTGCTCTGCCTGTTCCATCGGGGATGCATCAGGAGGTGATTTGTGTGACAGCCAGGTATCCCAGAATGCATTTCTCACAGACCAGCGGCAATGGCAGCCTTCCTTTGGAGTTTGTACTCCCAAGACGAACTTTTCAAGTCGGAACTCCAAAGTGTGCAAGTCCGAACTTGGCGTACTTGGTACTGAGAAATGCCTATATTGCCAATGATTAGACTGTAGGTGTTTCTCAAAGCATCCTTGGTAGGATGGGTCCTTCCAAGTCGGGTCCTACAGAGGCTAGGCAAGACTCCTTCCTATTCAATGAACACGCATTGGAACAGGCCAGTGAGTGCCCAGGTGTGCGTCATTGAAGAGGCCCCGCATTCAATTCTGGCAAATAAAAGAATTGTGGGTACTTCACGCTTGCTAAGGATAAACACATGCATCCTTGAAAGTTCTCCTACAGAAGGACTTGGTCCTCTGTAGGTTTGACGGATCCTTGACATTGGAACAGTGCTTTGGCAACATTTTATGACGTAGCCTCCTTGAAATTCAACCATTTAAGGATCCCTCCTTGACTTTGAGAGGCATCATGAGATTGGTTACTTTTACTTGCCTGTCTATCGTTGCCTCATTTACGCTCTGATGAAGGTTTTTAAAAAACGGAAACCTCAGCAGAAAAGTGAAACACTGCTTAGATGTCAGTGTGCAGAAATCTTTTCAACCAGTCACAACTTGACAATACAAACATATAATCTCTTATAATTGATCTATAAAGCATTAGTACATTTTCATGTTAACAGCTTAAGAAAGGTTATTTAGCAGTTGAACAGTTGTTTCATAAAAATTAAACTACCTGGCATGATATCAGATTTTCACTACACAGTTATTGTGACGATTATTGAGTTCATGATAATGATATTATCGTGATATAAATCTTTTAAAATAAAAATAGCCAAATGCTCTCAGTCAAAATCATTTTTAATTTTGTTTATTGTGCATTTTATGTCTTTTTTTGGCAAACAAATTGCACTCAAAATACAAGTGTGGGGAGGTGCAGTGAGGGTCTGTAACCATACCTGTACAACATTGCACAAAAAGAGCAGTTTCACTCGACAGATAGTGTAAAGGCAACCAGGTCGCGTTGGGGGACGGAGACAAAGTGAGAAAGAAAGACATGGACATGATTAGATTATGTACACAATATTATTATATGTGCATTGTGATACTATGATATCAATATTTAAGTTTCAAATATAAATGAAACATTGAATTTATTCCCCACTGTTGCTTCACTTGTTCCCACAGCCCTATGTTCCCACATTTCTAGTACATTTTCAAAATTAGGTCTTGTGTTCCTACATTTCCCTTCAACTTAAGCCCTATCCTCCCACAAGAGCTAGGGCTAGGGTTAGGGTTAGGGGGATAATAGGTTGGGTGTAATTTGCTACCAAATTGGGAGAAAGGGGGATAAAATCTGATACATATTTATGAAAAAGGAAATGTGGGAACATAGAGCTGTGGAAACATAGGGCTGTGGGAACATAGGGCTGTGGGAACATAGGTACGCTCCCGCTTACTTCAGTACACTCTTACGATGAACTGTACGTAGGCCTATATGAAGATGGACAACTTGTCTTCACTTCCTCAAAAATGAAAATATCCCGGATATGGGTGCCGCCATCTTGTGTTGGTGATGTCTCTGGAGCCAGAGTCTGTGCAGTAGCAATCAGGAACTAAAACAGAGGTATTGAGTTACAGCCAATAGACTCATCCAACCTAATGGCGATCTGTGCCATTGTTCGTGAGCGCTTGCAGCTGTCAATCATGACATCAGGTCTCTTTTTTATGGTATCAAATAACAGACCCTGCATTCATGTAGTGTTGAAATAATTGGAAAAATGAGGTGCCATCTGGGAACATTTCTCCTCAAGCAACTCTTAAAGTCAGCACAAGTTTTGGTACACGAGTTGCAGAATTGACATCATATACGCAGAAACTTGGTCGATTAAAGTAAATGTTTGGTTGATGGAGATAAACTTTTTGCATGTCAATTTTTTGTTTACTTGTGATTTGTATTATGGTATTAGATTGTAATCATTAGGTGCTCTCTGTGTAGTGTCCTAGGCAAAAAGTTAAAAAAGTTATTTTTCTGCATTAACCCTGATAAGAAGTCAGGTAAAGCAATATTTTAGTGGTCTTAGGGGATTGTAATATAAAGCTTCAATCTGTTATCAATGTGTTGTTTAAATGCTCTGAGCAATAGAATACAACACATGTTTTTTGTAGCGTCCATGTTGTTTCCACCTGAGGG